CAAACTACTTTACATAAGACTTTATGTCACATATATAATACCGACACTTTACATAATTATAAAAGACAAAATAGAATTATTATCGTCTATAATGCATCGTTATCTTCAAAGATGTGTTCTCTTTAATAATATGATTTCTTACGTCATTCCTCCCGCCTCCAAAAAGACATAATTTTGAAAATGTTTGCTTGTATCATTGCTGAAGTTAATCTTCCATAAATGGTGTTTCTTCTGTGTTTTCTGAACAGTGACTGCAATTGTGTCTTGGAGCATGCATAATATGTTTGCAAAGTTGTTTCTTGATATCATCGGGTAATTCAGCCAGTTGATGAGAAATTTTTTCGAAAGGTTGTTCGAATGTTTCAATTGCTTTCATTGCTTCTAGAGTGATTTCAATGTCTGTTAAAGAGTAGATAATGAAAGTTTTACTAGCATAATTTACTCTGATTCTTGACCTTTGATCTTTACCGTTACCAATGCGTGATGATGCTAAATAAACACCGGCAAGTGCAAAGATTAGATGCTCTTGTGTTGGGGATTCACGGGGTAGATCATCTTTTGTTGGTTTTGAGCCGTTGCTTATTCCCATGTTTGCAAAAGTAATACTTGGGACAATTAGTTGAGATTCTTCATCAAAAATTGGGTAGCTAGAATGCATTTTGATGAATAATCCTCTTTCTTGTTTTGCAAAGCGTATCTTATAATTTCTGATTGATAGTTTGCACAGCAGAAGGGAATTCGCTGATGCAGTGTAGATTGGTGCCTTCTAGATAGATGGTGTCGATGAACCCATGAATAAAATAATCCCATAAAGTCATAGGATCTGATAAGTCGGCTAAGAAGATTGCTTTAGGACCTGGTCGTCTGGCTACTGGGTAAAAGCCCATCAGAGAATGGACTTCGGTGTATGAGATTAGGCTGTCCCATAATTCGGCAAATTTTTTGGCAGATGGTTTTTTCATGGCTTCTTTTTCTTTGGTTGATAGAATGGATTCAAGGGCAATTTTTGCATTGAATTGGTTAAGAGATCTTGGGATGGATATAGGTTTTTGTGGTGTAAAGCTGGATATGGGTTTTTATGGTGTCAGGAGGACTGTTTTTGAACATTCGACGTTATCTTTTATGACTGCTTTGTATGCTTCGTTGAATGCGGCTTCTGCTTCATTTTTTGTTTTGTAGCTTTTGTGAATGATGTTTTTTCCAAGAATATATGAACTGGCGATTCCCCAATTGTCATATACTCCTTTGTTTTCTCCGTTGAAAATCACGTACCATTTCTTTGTATTTTGATCTGCTTGAAGTGGTGGATATTCTTCTGGATTTTGTGTTATAGGTTGTTTTTCTGTCTTGAACATTGTTTGTGGCTGACTATCATCAGATGAAATTTCTTGAATGTCTTCTTTTGGTGGCTTCGTTGTTGAACTGCTAGCTGCTTCTTCTTTAGGTACTGATTGAGATGATAAGATTTGTATTGTTTGTCGTAGTTGTTCTTTTTCTCGTCTGACTGCTTCGAGTTGTCTGACTAATGATGCTTCTTGATCTTCTTTCTGTTTGAACTGATGTTTGATTTGTTTCATGATTGTTTCCATTTTGATATATTTGTGGACTGAATGTTTGCGTTTCTTGAGTACCTTAATAATTGCTGATTTTTGTTTGTTTCAAATGATGATATGAGAATTTCATATCAATGTATGCTTTTGGTGATATATTTATATCACTGTATGCTTTTGGTGATATATTCATATCACTGTATACTTTATCATTGTTTACTTCAGATGGTACTTTCATACCATTGTATGCTTTAGCAATGTATATTCCAGATAGGTTAGATATGAGGTTTCCCTCAAGTTCTAATTCTAATAATACTTTTTCCATAGGATTATGTACCTGCATCTGAATCAGAATCAGTTGTATATGCATAAATATCTATATCTGAATTTATATCTGAATCTTCTATGGGTTCGTATCCAAGGTCGTATGCAATTTTTAATATATTTGTTTCTTTTTCTTTTTTAGTCTTTTTCGGGCATTCATAAGCTTTGTGTCCTTCTTCTTGACATATCCAACATTTACAGTCTTTTTTTATTTGATTGGCAATAATTTGTTTTGGATTGATATTTTTGTTTATATTGTTTTCTATTTCGGAAATATTTTCTTTCCCCTTGTTTATAATATTCTTTATATTTGGGTTTATAAGTTTGTTTTTTCCAAATTTTCTTTTTACTTTGTTGTTTTTCTTTACAACCATACTGATTTACTTTATTAGAAAGGATGTCACAACATAAATCTATTTTTGCATCTTGTGTTGTTTTTTTGTTCTAAACATTTTTTTTGCATCCATGCTTTTAATATACTTATTCGTGCTCCTAGAGTGTCTGTAATTTTATTTTGTTGTAATGCTTCTTGGAAATCTTTTATTACACTTTGGCTTACTAATGATGGTAGTTTTTGATAGAACATATCTAACGCTGCCTTTTTTCTAGTGGGATCTAAATTATAATAATGTTCGGAATATTCGCATATAAATGGTTCTAGATAACACATATTACAAATTCGTAAATTAGTTAGATGTCATAATGATTCTAATTGAAAAGCTTCTTTTGATATTTTATCTTCAATTTGTTTTCCTATGAATTCCTGAATAAGACGGCTTAATACATATTTAAATGTTTCCATAGCATCAGTGGTGGCTATCATCATCGTTTCGGTTTCATCAAGAGATGAAAGAAAACGATATGCGTTACCTTGTGTTTTATGAATAATATAATTAAGAAAATGTTTTGGGTGTAAATTTCTTAATTCTTCGGTTAACTGAATTTGTACTCCCATTTTATTACTCCATTCTTGAATTTTTGCTTCAGGATTTTGGTCACAATCAATAAAAAGAATATCTGAATTTGTTGGAAATGTAAATAATTTAGGTATGTATTGAGGAGGTATTTTTTCCCATTTGTTTTGTTTATTTTTAACCATTCCTTGTCTATATAAAAAATTTTCTTCTAATGAAGGTGGTCCATAAATATATTGACTTTGATAATCATCTTCAACATATGATTGTTTTCGTTTTAATCCAAAATTGTTTTGTGAATCTCTATATGGATTTGAATAAGGGTTTTCATCATCTGAAGAAAAATCATATATTACTTCTGCGTCATTATCATCTGAATTATTTTCTATCTCTATATTATTTTCTTGAGTTTCAGATGGAATTTCTAGTGCTGCAAATAATTTAGTTAGTGTTTCTACTTTTTCTTGTAAAGTTTCCATATATTGTGTGTATTAAAAATAAAATTTTTAGTTTCTTTTTTCTAGTGAAGTAGTTGTTTTTTCTATTATATTTAACAAATTAATTTTGTTATTTTATCTTCAAGGTTTTTTATTTGTTCTTGTTTCCAATTTATACTATTATTTATTATATGTATTGCTTCAATATTAGATATACAATTTATCATTGATATGTCAGAATCTATTTTTAAGTCTAAAAGAAATTTTTTAGATTGTTTTAATGTTTTACGAAAAAATTTTAATTCTTGTTTATTTGTATCTAGGCTTGAAAAACTCATGATTATAATTTTATAATAATAATGGTTTAGTTTCGTTTTGGATTTAAAGTTACGATTAAAATTTATTTAATAGTAGTGGTAATTATAATAATGTTTATGATGACAAATGATGATGGTCATACCAAAGCTAGAAAATAATAGTAAAAGTACAAATGAATGTTTAAAAGACATATGTTTTAAAATACAAATAGTTTTGTTTTTAGATGACGTATTTGCTTGTAACGGATTTTAATACTAGTTCTTATGAAATATCTAACATCATGAATATGGTTATTGTTTAAAATCGTACCTTGATTATTAGGTTTGTAAGAATCCTTGAGATTTTTCTTAGAATTATTTATAGATTCTTGGATTTGCTGTATTCTTAAAATAATATTTCTATTAAGAATACAATTCATCAAAATTTTGTTAGACATAAATATATATTTCAAGCATGAATTTGATTAATTTGATTATTAAGAACGAGTATTATTTTAATAAAAATTTCAAATTTTGTAGAATTAATAGTTAAAACAACTCGAAATGATACTATCATGAAGAAATAAAAGTAATCTAACAATTGAAAATATCTTGAGACATATTTATGGTATTAAATCTTCTTACGATAAATATTATAATTGTTGATAACTTTTTTAAATATGAATATTTAAAAACAATGATTATTTATTATTATGTTTATGATGCTTATCATGTTTATGATGCTGCATATGCATATATTCTTATTAACGATAGATTGAATATGCAAACTAATAATAAGAATGATAAGAACGTTACTTAGCTCTGATACCAAATTGAACGACATGACGGAATTAATATGATTAAGATAGAATTATACCTGAATGATGCGTCGGAATGGATTGACGATGGATTGTTTGAAGTGTATGAATGATTATATTGGATATGTTTGGATAGAGTTCTGCTATTCTTAGGGGCCCGCCACTGTCCACCTCAAACAGCGTTAGGCTCGAAACGGATATCACAACTATATATATATATATATATATATATATATATATATATATATATATATATATATATATATATATATATATATATAAAAGTGTGTCCTAGGACCCACCTTCACACAATCACGTCCACATAAGTTAGATACGTCACTCTTTGTCCGTGTTTGTTTTGGTTTGTAAAAAACATTAAAAAAAAGTGTTTTTTGTTTTTAAGCAATTCACCAAAATTAAATTATAAATAAATAAACAAAAGTACAAACGACAAGAGAAAGGTGGGGAAATGAAGGTCGAAGGCGGAGATGGCCATGTTTCAATTTGTAAGATAAACATCAAAACCCTCATAGTCTCATGCTTTGTTTAAATCATCTCTCTTTAATTTCCATTTACAAGTATTAAAAAAAATCCAAATTGTGATACACAATTTGAATGGTACTTGCATGAGCAAAAGCTGTCGTCACCATGACATTGAAATTTAAGGATTAGGAGGTGGGAATTGACCAGAACAAGGCCATGATGACGGTGGCGCCGCTTGAAAATCTGTACTGCTCTCCATATTCTGCTGGTAATCATAGTGCAACCGCTGGTTTGGGAAAAACTGGGGATCAATATCTGCCGATGAAGACGAAGAGATGAATGGTTGTGAATTTAAAGACGACATTGTTGAAGCATTAAACATGATTTGCTGTAACAAATTTGTTTCATATGGTTGCTGGAGATGAGAATTCATTGGGCTTTGTAGAAGTTGTGAGTATTGCCAGTAATCTGCATCAGGTAGTTGATACTGTTGAGGTTGGGGTCGGAAGTACAGTGGCTGCAACGGCGGTGGTGATGGCGGTAGTTGGCGGATGGTGGCTGTGGTGGTTGGTTGGAACTGTTGAGGCGGTAGCTGCGTGACGTTTTCAGGAAAATTGAGTTTTGCTTTATTTCCTCGGAATCTAAGTGCAGCCTCGTCGTAGGCTCTGGCGGCCGCCTCCGCCGTATCAAATGTACCTAACCAGACCCTTGCTGCCTTCTGTGGATCCCTTATCTCCGCCGCCCATTTTCCCCATGGCCGTTGCCGGACACCTCTATACTTCCTCCTCCTCTCTCCGGTGTCTTCGTTTCGATTTGCTTCAGTTGTCGGGTTATGTTGTATTCCGGTGTTCACCACCGTAGTACTGGTGGTGGTGGTGGTGATGATGGCAGATGGAATTTCTTCTTCTCTACCTGTACAATGACTCAATGAGTAAATCCAAAATATTAGATATCATCGATCTATGAATTTTCAGAATGTAATAGAACCTTCATAAAATCTTCGATGATGTTGCTCTGAAATTTGATTGACAGTAGTTTCGTCTTGTTCACGAACTCTCTTATTCCCAGCAAACGAACCGGAACTAGAAGAGGAATAAGCCGACGACGGTGAATCCGTAGAGAAAAAACCAGCAGCCAAAGCAGCAGCGCCGCCATAAAACGACGTCGGAGAAGCACCAACACCGACACCGACACCGACACCAGCACTGCCAGACGTCTGTCCAGAAACGACATGAGTTAAAGCCGCCACCATAGCAGACATCTCCTGTGAATGACTAAACTCCGATGTGAACATCCCCGGTAGAAACTGAAAACGCGGTGACGGTGGTGGTGGAGCTCCTCCTCCTCCTCCTTCTTCATCGTTCTTTTTCTCAGGATGAGAACTGAAATAATCACCGGAATCTCTTGGGTTCGCCACCTTTATAACCAACATGAAATAACACAAGAAAATAAAAAGAATTCGAGATGGGTATAGGACAAAAATCAAGATCGAATTAACCTGAGACGATTGAAAGAAACTTTTCGGGGTTAACATCAAAGAAAGGACTTTATAAGAAATTTTGCGCAGCCGTCATTGCTACAGTAACAAAATCTCTGGGTTCGTGAATCAGATGGAGAATATTTTGTTCACACCGTACAGCATTTGACTTGGTATATCATTAGATTTAAGAAAAATATGGCCGGTTTGTGGAGTTCATCTCTGAATTGGGTTCTCCCTCGTGGGGTTTTATACTCCAGGTATTATTTTATCTTCTACCGACATTAAAGGCTCTTTATTGTGATAGTTCCTTTGTTCGGAAGAGTTCCTAGGATTTTATAATTATTTACAAGAATGAATTACAGTTTCGGTCCATGTAGTATACATGAATATGCAGATTTAGTATTAGATTTGTAAATTTGACGCTACTGATCATTATAGTTGACAAAAGACAAATCCTTTTCCCTCCCTGTGTTACTAAAATTCCGTTAAATGCGCATAAAACTATCCACACTCATGACCATACCCAACTTAACCTTTAATTAAAACAATAATTTATCTTTTATCATGACCAACTAAGACTAGCAATTTATAACAATTTTGACCATTGATATGATACGGGTTGCTTGTCATCTTTATTTTTTATATTATTTTAATAGATTTTTTTTTGGTTTTTAGTGAGCAACTAGTTGCAATAGAATACCGATGGGAGTAGTCTAACCATTTCACCGACTTATTAAGTATGTAAAAGATATTATCTAGAGTGACTATATGTGTAAATTGTTCAAAAAACTAAACAAAAAACATATAACTCATTTCTCTACTCCCCCCTCCCCCCCCCCCCCCACATCTTCGGTCTCCCCACAACGTCATCGTCGGTGATACTCCAATCTTGTGGCGTCGGCCTCACCTACAACTCCACTTCTAGTTACCACCACATCATCACCATGCCCACTTCACCATATCTATTCTGTCCTTACCAGATCTACACGACAACGATAGATCCACCAACAATTGCATCTTCTACTTTTCCGATGGCCACATCACCACCAGATCTCTATATTTCTTGCAATGTTAGAACCCAATAAATCTACTCTATCTCACATGCCTACTTCTAAGAAATGTGAGCAATTATGGGTGGTGGGCTTGGCTGGAAACTGATGGTATATGGTAGGGTTGGACATATATGATGGTGGGTAGTAGGGTTGGTTGGATATGATGGTGGTGGTGGTAATGGTGTCAATAAGAAAAGGAAAAATGATGGTGGTGATGGTATGTGGTGGTTGTATATGGTGGTATATGGCGGTGGTTGTATATGGTGGTGCCCATTAAATAATTTAATAATAATAAAAACTCTAGAAAGAAAAAAAAATCAGAAAAACAAAGTAGGGCATTTTATTTATTCATACATACTTACCAACATGGTATAAGCTGGTATATTGATAGTTAACAAAACTGATAGATTTGCCAACAATGAAGATGTGATAGTTAACAAAACGGATGGATTTGTCAACAATGAAGATCACTGGTGTCAAGTTTCCAACATCAAGACTAACCTTGCAGATTTGTGTATAACATGGGGACCGAAAGTGTAATTTACTTTAAATATTAAATATTCATTTATTTTGTTACATTTTTTTATTTGGTCAAACATAACATTTATTTTGTAGTAACAAATTTATAATATTTGACTTGACTGTAGTTGAACATTTAAAGTTTTATCCACTAATGGTTAATATATATATATATATATATATATATATATATATATATATATATATATATATATATATATATATATATAATGAACCTAAATTATTATCAATATTTCATATGAAACAGGTTTATATGCGAGATGCAAAATGCCAATAAATTGATTTTACATTCAAATCGTTAGTAGGAAATTGTTGAGCGATAAAATTATGAGAGCGTTGGGAAACCACAAATGCAAGCCTCTACAATTAATTGCGAAAATTGTTAGGATACATACGTCAAATTATATGAAAAACAAGTTTTTTATCTTTTTTTTGTATTGGTAAGATTTTATTAAAAGGTTTAGATCCTTTTTCGTCATTGAATTTTTTCTGACCGCTTTATTTTGATCATTATATTTTGTTTAAGCTACTATTGATCATTAAATTTTTTATTTTTGTTTATTTTAATTACTCTAATCAATGATAGTCGGTATATAACATTGAACGATGTTGTCAGGATTATAATTAATCATTATTAGTCACTGAACTTGTTTATTATTTTAAAATAAATTGTATGAATAATCATGATGATTTAGGGTAGCATTCACATTTAGTCATTAACTTTTTTAACTCGAACGGTCTCGATGGCTTTAAAAAGACTATTTGCTCCTTATCCACCCCATCTCTCTTATCGCCGGTAGAAACATACCATATCACCATGGAAAAATTACTTTCACTTTAGCCGGCCCCGTAGGAAGTCTTCAAATCGAGTGGCCCAAAGCTGACAGTATCGTGGTACTTGTGAATTAGTTGAAAACACAAATAAGTATGTCTTTTTGCAGAGACCCGATCCTCTTTCAACACACAAGGACTATATTTGTGTATGAAGCAATTGAAAACACGAATAAGTTGGACCAAAAAGAATACGGGTAAGAGATTTAAGGGTATCATTAATTCTATGGTAAATGAGTATTATTGAATATTTCCAATGAAGTATCGAAATCCAAAATACATATAAGGAAAAAATCAAGATGACATTAACGTTCTAGACATCAAAATGACAACAAAACGTAAAGAATGGAATAAGACAAATTGAAACTAATTATCGACTTTGATTGGGTGCATGCTACCCGAAATCATATGGATCATTTGTATAATACTCTAAAATAACTGATATAACAAGTTTACTTGTAGAGAAAACGAAAAAAAGGTATTTTTTTTTATAGAAATGATAATAATAACATAGAGTGACTAAAATGGAAATTTTAAATAAGTTTATTGACTAATGGTAGCTTAAACAAAATATAATGACTAAATTAAAACACTCAGAAAAGTTTAATGACTAATTATAATCTTGACGAAGTTGTCCCATATTATAAACCGGCTATCACTGGTTATAGTGACTAAAATGAAAAAATAATAATAAACAAGTTCACTGACCAATGGCAGCTTAAACAACGTATAATGACTAAAATAAAACATTTAGAAAATTTATGTGCCTAAAAATGACCTAAACCTTTTATTAAAAATACAACCTAACAAGATGCAAGGCAAAAAAATGACAAGAAAAAAAAAAGATTAAAAGGATTGCAACACCAACTAGCCTGATTATAGTTACCAAAATTGCACGTATGTTTTGTCAAACCGAAAATCAAAGTAATTACAATATCTGCAACATTTGTAGGTCTAAAAGAAACTTTAATAAACGTCTTGTCGTTTATCTCCTTCCAAAGACACTAAAAGAGCCCCATAGAAAATCGTAAGTAAAAAATATTTTCTTTGGGCAATGACCCCAACAAGCCGCAAAGTTGATGGATTCCACCATCGTAGAGAATCTATGATGAACAATATCACACCACTTGAATAACCATATCAAAGTTTCTTGAGGGAAGGAACATTCAACTAAAAGATGGCCACTTGTCTCCACAACATCGTTGTAGACTACAAATTGTTGAACCGACATTTACACCTCAGCTGAGAAAGTGGGGATATGGTCCATACAGACTCCCTAAAAGAACACCAAAACTTTTTGAGGAACAATCTTCACACATACCATAATTTTAACTTACTGGTAATTTAAAAAACTATTGATCATGTTTCGAAGAATATTAATACGAAATCGGCCATCATGGGCATAACTGAATTTCCACATATCACTGGAAGGAAAGGAATTAAAGGAACTTATCAACGACTGCAACTGAGTGAGCTCCGATTACTCAGTATGAGTGCTAGGAAGTTTTTTCTAGTTGCCAACAAAACCGTTGCAAGAGACTCTCTATGAAATGAGGGCATATTTGCATTTCTCCAACTCAAATAGAACAGGAAAGTGAACTGAAAGAGCCACATGCTCACGACAAACTTATGTCTACAATGTAGTGTCCTCACCTGAACCTATAAAACAAGAAAAATTATTAGGGTATGTATTTACAATTAATTTGAATGATTTCATTAACAGATAAATTACAGTACAAGATAATACAGCACTGGACTATACAATAAAGGGTTAACTAATGTACACTAATACGAACCCGCGGTTGGACGGGAGAGCGGCCGTGGATGCTCAAATTGTATCTTAAATTGAAAATAGTGTAGACAGAAGTCCCTTCGTGGAGATGTCTGCAAACGGATGACTAGAAGGGGCATGATGCATGCGAATTTGTCCAGTGGCCACTTTATCCCGAACAAAGAGAATCTCAATCTCAATGTGTTTTGTACGTTGATGTTGAATGGGATTCATGGAAAGATAAATTGTGTTAACATTGTCACGATAGACGATGGTGCCTTCGATAATGGACAATGAAACTCTCTTAATAAGTTACGAATCCAACATGTATTTATGACTGCGTTTGCAATACCTATGTATTCTGCCTCGACACTGGAGCGGGAGACTGTCATCTGGAGTTTGGAAGATCAGGATATAAGATTGACGCTAAGGTAGATACAGTACCCACTAGTTAAACATGAGATAATAGGCATCCCCTCAGTCAATGTCAGAGTATGCAATGAGGTTCGTAATGGATGTAGGATGTAGCTGGAAACCAGAATCAACAGTACCTCAAATGTACCATATCATGCGCTTAAAATCATGAAGATGAGGTTCTCTTGGGTTGTGTATGTAGAGATAAATTTATTGAACAACAAAGGAGATGTATGGACGTGTAAATGTAAGGTACTGTAAACCAGCATCAAGACTGCAATATATCATGGGATCTGAAACCGAAAGACTAGAAATATCGACCTTTGCCTAAGAATTGGATGGGG